TCGCTCAAAATATATATTTTCTTAACTTAAATATTCTAACATGCCACTCGTATTAGGAGATATTACTCCCAATGGGTAGTACATTCAAATTGATCATGTATTGTTGGAAAAAAAATTGTGTCCCTACAATGAATGCGAATCATCGAGGAAGCGGAGAAGAAAAAAAAAGATCTCTGGTGTATCATGTCTGTTGTCCGAATGCAGCTTGTGTCCAGACCCTGAACGCAATATTTTCTTGGGCCATAAAGTTAGCTTTGTGAAAGGACAACTTATATGGTTGGTAAAGTTGTTATAGAATATGTGTAGTAACCCCCAAATAAATTTAATTTAGAAACACAGAAGTATATATATTGAATAATCTTAAATAATTAGTGAATCATTGAGGTCAGATAAAAGATATGTTATTCAATTATATGAAAAAAATGATCAAAATTAAATTTATAAAATTATAAATTATTTATTTATTTGTTTTTCAAATTTGATTTTGTTTGCTCCTTGTTAGAAAGTTTTCTTATATAGTGAAAATGCATGAATTATGAGCGGTTGGTAAGCATATTATATTTTACAATAATCTTTTTATGCTCATTTGCAAATTCATAAATACTAAATTCGTGATACTATTTCATAAATTTATACTACAAAACATATAAAAGCTTGTGATATAACCATAATTTTATAGTCGAAGTAACTTTCTATTATATAGCTCACTACCAACATCTGCATTAAAGGATAACTTGGCTTAGAGGGCCATATTGAAAGATGACCAGACGTAGATATCCTTCAATATTTTGTTGTCGACTTTAGTGAGAAGAAGTTTTAGAATAAAATTAAGTCGAAGAAAGTTATATTGTTAAGAGAGAAGGGGTGATGGAAAGAAATATAGATAGAAAATGTTATATTTAAGGATATGACTTATTATTATTATTATTTTTTTTTTTTGAAAAGTGGACCCAAATGACATACCGTGTGTTTCAAACTCACAATCTCTTAGTGAGAATTAACACCCTCAATCACTATGCCACGGATAAAGCGCATTTGACTAAGTAATCTCAAATACCATAAAAATAACTCCTCCAATGTGATACTCTCAACCATTATTCTTCTAATGTATTCTTAAGCTGCAATGGATGATTGTTATTGCTGATGTTCTGAGTGTATTATATGCAATTGCCACTTAGAATAAAATCACATAAAAAGTGAGTGTTTGTATCAAGATGCCTTTGATTGAGAGTAATACCTTAAGATGAATTTCGAGTGGTAGGGCATGGGTAATGATTTATAAGCAGCATTCTCTTCCAGTCAAATGTAGATGAACCATCTTCTATTAGAATTAAGCTCTAATATCATTGCTTTTTTCTTTAGTCAATAAGACTAGACTTGGATCGGGCTTGTCGTAGTTCTTGTTTTTTTCAACCAATATGTTGCATATTAGAGCTGTTGTGAGATATGTACTTTCTGGCATAGAAATGAGACGAAAAAGAACACAAGCAAACACAGATTGTTTACGTGGTTCGATCCAACTAGATCTACGTCCACGGAAGGGAATCAATCAAATAGTTCACTAAGGCAAAAGAAATGGAGAATACATAGCTTATACATAGAGATGAGCCCTCATCTTCCTTCTATGGCCTCCCTCTCAAGCGACACCTTGATACAAGGCCTCAAGATGCTCTCCTCCTCTCTAGCTCTCTAGCTATTCTCTCCTCCTTCGTGGTAGCTTAAGATATCTTCTCCCTTTCTTCTCCTAAGCCTCACACCCTTAAGATTTCTTCCCTTACTCTCCTAAGCCTTACACCCTTAAGATTTCTTCCCTT